GTGCCAAGATAGGTTCATCATGAGCAGGAAGGAACAAGGGAAAACAGGAGGTTTTCCCCGTGGACCGACCCGTGACGAGATCCTATTCCCGGGCCCGCAACAAATGAATAGATCGGATTCAGCAAAATCTGCTTCCGAATCCGGTCCGAAATCCAATCAGATTTGAAGACCTCGGATTCGGATTTAATCCAACTGTGCTTTAATTTTTTAAATACCAGAAAAAATTAAAATTTTAATTATTTTTCAACTTCTATATATAATAAATTAATGTAAATATAACATATTGAATTTATTATATACATAAGTTTATATATAATATAATATATAGAATATAATTTTTATAATTTTAAATATAATATATAAATTTTATATATTAAAATCAACAATTATTATAATATAATTGGATCCAGATTTTTTTATAAATTAATTGGATTCAGATTTTAATTGGATCCAATGGGGTCAAATCCAAATCCGATTATTAATCAGTTATAGATTGCAACATCTGAATCCAATTACAATAATACATCATCTGAACTGGCCTAAGTTGAATGTTGAGATGCCAATACGTACAAATTTTTATGGTATTATCTCAACTTCTACTATAAGCATATAAAATCTATGGTTCTTAATTACATAGACAAATGAGACATTCTAATGATAAATTCAGTAATGTACAGGAAACTTAAATATTCATTCTTCAACAAAAGATTTTCATTATGAATAAACTTTAACAGATTGAAAGCAATTTCAAAAGTCTGGAACCACTGAGAGGTACCTAAAAGGACATGTCTCTCCCTATGGAGTTTTTTTCTTTTGCTAGTTTATTCTTTTTATGGGTTTTCTTGTTAGTTATTAGGCTAAAGATATTCTTCCAGTTTCATATAACAAAGATCAGAAAAGAACTGCATTGCTCAGGGGGAAAAATAACTCAAAATGGTCCTAAGACAAAAAAATGTCTATGAAAAGAAAAGTATCAGACCATTGATAAATATCGCAAGAAACATATAGAACCAACATAACAAATTCTCACTGTTTACTGGATCAGGATTTGGTTGGAAATGAGACTGGAAGGGGTCTTTTTTTGTCTTTGTATTTGCTTCATTGGTCTTTATTGTGAGGGTGAGGGTATTAATTGGGTAGTATTTATTTTTTCATGATTGATATTGGGGGGGAGGGGGGGTCTCCAAGGGGAGGTGGATTAGGTATGTTTTATGGATTTCTTCTTAATATTTTTTGCATTCACTATAAAGAAAGAGTAAGCTCTCCAGTCATGGAATACCTACAAGGAAAAAAGCAACTTGTCTATGATTCTTATCAGAAGCAAGTTGTGCTGGTGTAAAGCCAGTGTTATCAGTCACCATCAAGTCTTCTTTCTTCCCTGCTTGCACTAGCACTGTGCATACCTCTAAGTTACCTCTAATAGCAGCCCAATGTAGGGGAGTACAACCTGAGAAAAGGGTAGAGACACAGGTAATGAAAAATAACATTCACGCAAGATATTTTCATGAATATAAAGATTAGAATCCAACTCACTGCAAAATATATGAGTGAGTGCTCAAAAGTAATCAGACAATGAATAGATAATGCTAGATTACCTTCTTTATCCTGCCGTCCTCTATATGCATCCAAAAATAGAAGAAGGCGTATACAATCAGCAAAACCTTTGTAAGCAGCCCTACAAAGATCAAAGAAGAATAAATAATTATCTTTCCTGCTAAAAAATCAAAAAAACAAGTCTAAACATTTTACCTAGCATCAGGGCTATTGACCATGAAGCAAATGCCAGAAGAAATTAGTATCTACAAACGCTTACAAGTAGTTTCCAATTGATATTAAACATATGCCTCAGAAAGAAACATTTTAAAAAAACAAGTACTGTAAAGTTGAGAAAAATTTGAAAGCATACCATACAAACTATTGTATGTCCACATATGACAAGCATGAATACACTAGCAGCTGAGTCAAAATATAAACTTTTTCACAGAAGCAGCTAAGGGCATCGCTTTCTGTACCAATATGCAGATGGTGTCTTGCCCGTAATTGATAATGCCTTCGTACTAAATTTGGTTTGAGTGAACAATGTTTTAAAAGGCTTAAGCCTTGAGGCATGAGGAGGCATATGCCTTGAGGCGAAGCATACAGATTTTGCCTCAAGGCTTAAACCTCACAACTTTGATATGAGGCTTAGGTCCTTGTCAGAAAGAAGCATAGTTTAAGGTGTAAAACAGTGTAAGCCTCAAGAATCGAGGGCTATTTAGTATTTTTTTATAAATAGGGCAAGTTAGTAATTTAATACAAATAAAATATATTTTACGTATTTTTATAGTTCAAAATATATGAGAATGGAACTTTGGAAATTTTGGGCTAAATAAAAAGAGTAAAAATAAAAAGCCAATAGGGCAAATCAAGTTCTATTAGTTTCTCTTAGTGTTTTAGGAATGCCAAAAAAGGTCCAATCAAATTCTTAGTTTCTCTTGATTAAATCAAGTATGATTTCATTCTTATTATTCTAAATCTAACATCCCAAATTTATTATTTTTCTCAGTTCTCTTCCTAATGGATTTCTTTTCTTTTTATTGATTTTTAAAAGGCCTAACAACGCATCAGGGCTTACACCTCACCTTTTTAGGCCATTACACCTCAACCACACCTTTAGCATTTTAAAACCTTGCAAGTGAATAGATTTACCCAATCCTCTATGGTTTTTTTTTTTTTTTGATAAGTGAATAGATAATAGAATTTTATTAAAGAGAATAAGTAGTGAGTGAATAGTACAAATATAAGTACAAATTTCATTAGATAGAATTTTATATAAAGTGAATAGTACAAATTTTATTAAAGAGAATAAGTAGTGAGTGAATAGTACAAATTTTATTAAAGAGAATAAGTAGTGAGTGAATAGTACAAATATATATAATACAAGCTTCCCAAAGAGAGACGCAAGGTGTGGCCTCTCTCAACCAGCAAAATAACAAAAACAATTACAACCGAGCCCAATACAGTTGTTCCCTTGTAGCACCTTGAATAGTTAGAGTATCGGCAAAGGCATTGGTTGTCCTCACTCATTGAATTCTCAAAGTTAGGGGCGGAGCAAGAAATTTTTCTTGAGGGGGGCCAAAAGCTAAGAAACATGGGTAAGAGAGTCAAAATATAAGTGGAATTTAAATGGGTGTTATGGGAATTTTGAAGGCATAGGGGGGGGCCATGGCTCCCCTCCACCACCCCTTGGCTCCGCCCCTGCTCAAAGTCATGTTTCTAGTCAACCATTTAAATTTCTTCATCTCATTCTTATAGCCCCAAATCACAACTTCCAGTTCCTTTAACCACTCCATCACCACCACCTTAGAATCACTTTCAATTACCACCATCTCCAAGTTTAACTCACATGCAATTTGCATTCCCTGTAAAACTGCAAGCAACTCAGCTCTAATGGAATCTTCCACTTCTACTAGACCAGAAAAAATGGCAATGATATGTCCTTCCTTATTCCTCAAAACTCCCCCAATTCCAGAAGGGCATGAATTGCCCTGACTGCTTACATCAAAGTTCAATCTGACAAAATCTTCTAGAAGGGGTGAGTCGGGTGACCAATCTGACAAACAAGTATCCTTGTTTGTACCTTATTTAGCAAGACAATCAGCCAAAGAATTTGTTCATCTTCTGACCCAGTGTATTCTTACATTCATGTCCCTCATATACCATTTAATTTTTTTAGTTTCATCTCCGTAGTGCCAGGGAACAAAATCCGGTTTTTGTAGCCATCCCAATTCCCACCACCACCTTGGAATCTCCTTCTATTATCAAATTTACTATGCTAAGTTGGTGAGCAATCTGAATTCCTTGTAATGCAGCAAGCAGTTCTGCTCTAGAAGAATCTCCTTCCCCCACCGTTCCCGATAAAAGCCCCAAAATGTTCCCATCCTTGCTCCTCACCACCCCACCTACACCAGACTGGTCTGGATTTCCTTGACTGCTTCCATCAAAACTCAGCTTTAAGCACTCCTCTGGAGGTGGTGTCCAATTTAAATGTGTTCTAACCTTCTGAGAACTTCTATTTGCAATCTCCCTCCAGTTTCTCAAAAAGTCAGCAAAGGAAAACTGATGAAAACAGTCCATAGTTTTTAACCAATATATCACCTTGGTTATCACACACTCCTTGATTTCTTGTACACTAATACACTTCTTTCCTTTTCCTGAAAAAAATCTTGCATTTCTCTCTTCCCAAAGAGACCAAATCAAAGCCGTTTTTGTAAACCTCCATATTATTCTTCCTCTTTTTTTGGCCCACACAAAGGTAGATGGGTCAAATAACAAACGTAACTCTGAAGGGAGATTCCACCTACACCCAAACAAAGAGAGAAACCAATCCCACAGTTCAGCAGAAAAAGAGCAGGAAATAAATAGGTGATAGCAATCATCACCATTAGATTTGCAGAGAGTGCACCAGTACAGGGATCAGCAATGATTGAGCCCGTTTTTGCAGATTATTGAAGGTGCTTACCTTCCCATAGAAAACTTTCCAACAGAAAGCATTAACTTTAGGGGGAATAGACCTGCACCAAACTTCCATGACAGGAAAAGCTTGAGGGTTAGGGAAGTGACAAAGAGACTTGAAAAGGAAGCACACGAAAAGAAACCCATAGGGTTAGGAGACCACACCCATCTGTCTGGGAAAAGGGGGGTCCAAACAGATATTATCAATAGAAAGCAAGAGTTCAGTATTCTTCCTCCCTTAATCCTCTACGGAGGCCAAAATCCCAATTCAGACTCAAGGGATTAACAAGAGGGTTAAGGAATTTTTAAACTACCTCTTCTTTATACGAGGAAATAGAGTACAAGGAAGGAAAGACATCTTTAAGAGCTGAGTTACCCACCCATACATCTTCCCAAAACAAATAGAATTCCCTGAGCAAATACCATACCTGACAAACCTGAGAAAGTGAGGAAGCAAGCTGTGAATTGCCTTCCGGGGAGTTGCAAAATTAGCCCACTGAGAAACACCTGCACCCTATCCATTAGCTAGTCGACCATGGATACTTGCCACCACATCATGCCACAATCTTCCCCTCTCTAAAGGCCATCTCCATAACCATTTTCCTAATAAGGCAGCATTCTTTTGAACCACACTCCCTAACCCTAACCCACCCTCCTTGCTCATACATACCATCTCCCAATTGATCAGATGGTCCTTCTTACTTTTCCCTGGTTCCCACAGGAAATCCCTCATTAATTTCTCTAACTTCTTTGCTTCCCTAGAACGGATTCTAAAGACAGAGAGGAAATACACTGGAAAGTTGGCAAGAGTAGCCTTTATCAAAGTAATTCTGCCTCCCAGGGAAATATAGTTCTTTTTCCACGCAGCCAACCTTTTGCCAGCCTTCTCCAAGATTGGATTCCAAAAGCTGTTTTCCTTAAGATTGGCACCTAGGAGAAGACCTAAGTAGTTCAACGGCCAAGAAGAAGTGGGACATTCTAAACAAGCTGCTAATGATTCTAAATCCTTCTCCTTCAAATTAACACATGCAATGCAGCATTTTTCAAAATTAATCTTCAAATTAGAGATTCCTAGCCTTTCTCAAATCCCCCCCCCACAAAAAACTATAACATCACCTGCAAATTAAAGATGAATATAACCTCATTTCTGGCAACTCTCCAACCTCTTAATGAGCCTTCGTCATCAGTCTTTTATATTAATCTACTAAGCACATCCACTACAAGAGTAAAGAGGAAGGGAGATAGAGGGTCGCCTTGTAGAAGTCCTCTACAAGCTAGGAAAAAGTCGCTTACCACTCCATTTACTAAAATGGAATAGTGACAAGAACCAAGACAACCATTCACCCACCTACACTACCTCCCTCCAAACCCAAAGTTACTCAAAACTTCTAAAATGAAGGACCAATCCACCAAATCATAAGCATTCTCAAGATCCAATTTACACACAAAACCTTCCTGCCTAGACCTTCTCATCTCGTCTAACATTCATTTGCTATCAGAATTTGATCAATGTTTTGTCTTCCTTTTACAAAGGCCTCTTGAGCTTGACTGATGATATCAAGAAGCACTGCTTTTATCCTTACCTCAATTTCTTCAACTTCTTATGAAATCTCACTCCCTTCCATTTAACTCCTCTCACTCCCCATTCCACCAATTTTCCACTTTTTGTACAAAATACAAGTGAGTTACCACTAAGGAAAGTTTCAGGGCATAATCTGATAGGACAGTGATCTGAGGTAACCTTGGGCAAAGCTCTTGCAATCAACCCTTGTCAAAGTTCTTCCCATTCTACATTAAAGAGAAATTTATCCAATTTCAAACACAAAGGGTTTTCTCGAATGTTGGACCATGTAAACCTAGCTTGCACCAAGGGAGCTCTTTTAGCTCACAAGAATATATGAAATCATTAAACTTCATCATGCTAGTTGAAATCTATTGTTGGACATTACTAGATTAATCAAAAAACCTAATCACATTAAAGTCCCCTCCGAAGCACCAGGCTCCATCCCACAAACCTCTTATTGCATATAGTTCCTCCCATATCTCATTCCTTTCCCTATAGCTATTAGGTCCATACACATTAGATAGCACCCAAATAAGTCCATTTCCCTTGTTTTTATATTTTATCAATATAGAGAATCTGCCAACCAGCTCCTCAACCGATTCCACCGCATCATCCCT